GATCGAGAGAAAGTTTAACGGATTACGTTCTATTAGGTTTGCCTCCCCCCTCGTCGGCGCTGCGAATATCGCCGATCTGTATATCACGGGTGTATTAGCCGCTGGTTTCGAACAGGTGTGCGCCGCGTCTGAAATATTTTCATCCGCGGGCAAAAAATCGGCAAACGGCGGTAAGAAACCGGGCGCGCGTTAAAAATGATCGGCGTTTCAATGTTACTCGCGCTAATCGATACCGCGAGAGAGCGAGCGAGCAGGGAGTTCCCTGGTCGCGCGCAAGGACTCGCGGAGCGCAACTTTTTCCCGAGCGAGGTCCGCGCGCGCGTCGTTTTTACCACCACTCGAGGTCGAAATCCAGCGAGCGGGCAATTTTTGCCTACCCGCCGGCAATTTTGTAATTCCGCGCGCGGACAGTATATCCGTCCTTCTTACGATCTCCTTAGACGTAACGGCAAAAATCACAGCGAGATAGCGAGAGCGGGTCGAGACGGCTCGGAATAAAAATTCGCGATTTATATTCCCGGCCCGCTCCCGGGCGGTATATTAAATAAACATGATTCGCGAATCGCTCGCGCCCGATTGTCGTGCGGCGAACGTCCGCCACGTAAGCGAGAACGTCGCGTCAGCCGTGTAATTGCCTTCTCATCCGCAAGTTAAACCCCGACGCGCGCGCGGCCAGTAACAGCGAATTAATAGCGAGTGTATCAGTTTCCCCGGGTATTCCTGTCATTCGACACTCGGCCGTACCGTCACGCACGCACGCTCGCACGGGAGAGTGGAAAAAAAAATCACTAGCCGTCGAATAGAGCAATTTTCAAAACACGTGACACGTGACATGCGGCGGCGCTGTGCGCGTTTCGCGCTCCTGGCACGAAAAGGCGGTTAGCCGATGAAATGGAATAGAATGGAATGAAAAAATGCCGCGCGACAAAGACCTCGCGCGCCGCGCGCAGCTCGCGAGAAACAGCGCGCGAAAGTAATTAGCGGTTACGTTGTCGCTCTGTTCGGTCAGAGCGGGAGGGGATCCGATTAAAATCACGGTGACGTGCCGGCGTATCAGAGTCAAGCTCAGTTTCCTTTCCGGCGTCTTTCAGAATGACAGCGGCATCGTCGTCGTCGTTGTCTTCGTTGTCGTCGGCGCGCCTCGCGAATCCGGCATCTCGTTCTCAACTCTCGTCGCAGTGACAGGTCGTGCTTCGCCAAGGTGAATGTAACCGCCGATACAATTATTTTACACGAGTTCGCACTTTCGTCGCGTTTCGAGCCTACCGGGTGATAAAGCGGGAGCTGACGCGGAATCGCTCGGAAGTATTATTGTGAAGGAGTTTGCCCCCAACGGCCGGTGGTAAAGCACGAGTCGTCGGATGACATTGTGCGGCGTTTGGCGATTCCGACGTCAGGCAGAATCGGAATGGAATGCCAACTATTTTCGCGAAGCGAGGAGTGAACGCGATTTTTGATCTCTGCGAGACTAAGATGAAGTTTTTTGATCCCGAAATTACGTCTTCGAAAGAGGTGTTGCGCCGAGGAGTTGATAATGTTTACGCTATTAATATGCAAACGTATGCCAAGCGCGTTAATCCGGCCATCAGCCGAGATTATCATAAATACCGGTCGCCAGAGAATCAAGCTTAGCGGAATCTGCATTGTAGAATCAAATGACCTTAAGAGGATTTTCGCTGAGGAATCAGACGCGGAAGTGTAAAGGCGAGAGAGTGACGGTACCGGTTCCTCCGGCGTGATTCCCCTGATTTTAACAGCCGTGAAAAATACGGCTGTCGCCCGCATCCGAGTTCTCGATACATCAATCAGCGACATTATCGAGTAATTCCGCATTGCATGTAGCCGGCTGCCACGATTAAGTAACAACTCGCTGATCAAGGGGAATTAAACCCTCGCGTGATAATGGGATGTCATTGGTAAATCAGGTGTAACGATGTGATAGCGACGAAACACGCGTGTGCGTGTAACAACTCTTACATAACTGTCAATTAACCGGTCGACGAACGTGTCGCATGTTAGCGGTCTCGGTTAGTTCTTATGTAAAAATAATTTATTACGAACGTTATAACGTCACGATGATTAAAAGCAACTTCGCGTATTCATAGAAGGCGTGAAGTATCAATACGTATAGAAAGCGGCGAACATGTCATAGTTGTAGTCGCACGAACTGTCGAGTAGAAAAGAGGAATGATGATTTCGATTTGATACGACGAATTCGCTTAACTTTATATGGAATTTTTTATATGGAATTTTTTCTCTTCGATATTAAAAAAAAATACTATTATATTCACACAATTCTATATAGAGTAAAAATTTTTGGTTGTAAAACCTCATTGAAATTCGGTGTTATTTAATATGAAGAATGTGTTAATTGTTTATAATATATTGTACTTTTTAACATATATTTACGCAATTTTAATATATTCTCCGTGTTAAAATAACACAAAATTTCAGTGAATCGTTTTTAACACAATTTTTTACCGCGTAGTATTTGCACTTTTCTCTTTTAGTTTTTAGTTTTTTTCTAGTTAACTCTGAATATATACACATATATATATACACGGAAAAAAGTAATATCGCTGGTCCAGCAACTTGTTAGTTACTATGGGAACAACAAAAATATTTGTTACGCGAAAAAAATAATTTTACTGTTACAGCAAAAATTGTAGCAGTAAAATTTAGTTGGCATAACCAAATTATCTTACTCTCTGGTTAAGCTGTAGTGATTGTATGTCGCCTATATCGCGTCGTATATCTTTTCAGTTGAGTCAATTATCCAGTATATAGCCTTATCGCTAACTTATAATTAACAGTGAACTTATCGATCATTTTAGCAGTAAATTTATCCTTACTGCCGAGCAAAAATCTCTTTTTTTTTTATAGTCGATGGCCACTGACACTGACTTCTTTTTACACAAAGACGGTTGCCCATTTTTGCACATGTCCAATACGCTTCACAGGTGTTTTTACATAAAAGCCTGTATCTCCACGAATTTTCATCGGATTTGCTTGAAACTTCGGGAAATTTTTCTTAAGATGATACTTTAAGGAAATGTCACGTATAAAAAATCGATTTTTTTCAAAGTTTCTAAACGCCTATAATCCCTTAAGCATCGGCAGGCAATAACAGTGACGGTGAAAATGATTGCATGTCAGTCCGGGAATCCACGATTGATCTCCTCGATCCGGGACGTAGTAATTAACACTTATCGATCGCACAGTATGAAATATCGTGCACCTCCGGACGTGACGACCTTACCGTAATAATTGCGAGCCTTTCTTCTCGCACCTCAGTAAGTGGCTGAACGACGGGAGACGTCGCGGTATAAGCCGCAACGACTCGACTTTTTACAGTCATCGCGGCAAGCAAATTGATTGAATCAATGGGTGTTCAACTGATCACTTGAGCGTACAGAATTTTCTATTAGCTGCGTAATCAGTGGTAACATAAGCTAAGAGGAAATTGTGCACGCTATTGAGCGGTAAGATTAAGTGAAACATTCGGCAGATTATTCTCCGACTGCAAATGCAATTTCGCGATAAGATAGTATCAATTTTTTATTCTTGCATGGAGATAGCTATCCGCTCTAAACCGGACTGCATGGCCGAATAGTTTTATGAGAGCGAAAAGGAAAAGGAATGAGCATTACATAATTTGAGTTATAGCAAAGTTACGGTTCGCGTGTTATTGTAGCAACAAATCTTCGTAATTATCGTTGTTACGCGCCGCTTGCGTATTGCGCAATGTTGTGCGTTCAATCGCGTTGTTGTTTTCTCTAATGAGCCTGTTTTCTCCGACGTGTGCTGTGAAAGAGGGGGATGAATTATTTCATAAAACGCGATGTCTTCGAAAGTCAAAGGAAACGCGTAATTTTAGCACACTATAATTAGCACTTCCTGTCGTAATTGCAAGTCCACTTTAGCGCTGTGAAAATGGTTTTTGGTATGTCACCTTTTGTTTCCACCGGAAGCGATCAATAATCTGTCGCTGATGATATCACTTTGTCGCCTGAAAACATTTTAATGCATTTAACACATTTGCGAACACGAACTTTTACAACGGTAGTAATTATTCCTAATAATTATGTGCAAATACAGGGTGTCCTAGAATAACTGCATGTAGGGTGCATCAAAGGATTCTTGGTATTAAACTAATCAACTTTTTCTGTCAAAAATTCCGTTCGAACGGTAGTTTTTAAATGAAAGCTGTTTAAAGTTGTCAAGTTAGCGTAATATCATTTGTGATGATAGAACAATTAACGATATTCTTAAAATGATATTTTCAACGTTTGGAAATTATCTTTTACAGCGTAATTTTGCCAATTAACCAACATAGTCTCCTCTTTGAAATTACAGAGATACATGAGATAACGCAAATATAAAATATGATCATAATTAATAATTAACAACTAGATCTTTTTATAGTCACAGATTAAAAATTTAACATTGACGAAATTAAGTAAATTTTTACTTCAGTAACTCTGGCTGTTTATTTCCGTTTGTCACACGCTGCGTGGGAATAAAGTATTATTCTCGAGAGGATGTTTACATGTTCTTCTTTTTATTTTCACGTTTCATAACATGAGAAAATTTCTTAAAGACTTAGGACATTCTTCACCGATAAGTCACGTGGAAGTATTACATCATGAGTTCATAATATCAATAAATGACTTGAAACATGTCGCTTGCGTAATCAGAATCGAGAGCTGCTTATAGTTCCAACAATATTAATTTTTCCATCTGTATCCGTTAAAGAGTCTTACTCAATTTAGCGCGTTACACGTTCACTTCGTAAGTCCCGAATCTTTTTTTTTCTAACATCTTCCGTAATTATGATTTAGGATAACGCACGAAAAAAAGAAGTGGTTCCTATAGCTAAAAACTATTTCCTATAGGTAAAACTTAGCTGTTCACATAATACAATTAAATTTGAGTTAATTTAGCTAATCTCTTTTCTCGCTTTCGTTTCTATGCTTGATTTTTAGCTCCCACAGTTAAAAACTAGATCTGGTAACTGAATTTCAGTTTCATCACGGGCATCAAACTAATCAACTTTTCTCGTCCAGTTCATTCCTCTTTCCCCCGCACGATATTAAAATCAGTTCACGTATGACTTCGCAAGTGTGATTTTTTTCCAAACTTTTCCAAATTATAATCTTACCTAATACATTTCTCAAAACTCGCGCGGAACTAACGGCGCCTGCGCAATCGCTTGTTATTTTAACACCCAGAAGTCGGTATATGCGTACGAGAACGGGGATCTCGACGGAGAAGTTGCACTGTCGCATTAACATACCTTAACTGGACCGGTCACGGGTGCGCGGCCGCTCGAGCGGAGCGTCCCGTGCTTCGGACAGCGTGAGTTGTCAAAGTGTATAAATTTCATGGCGATAAATTCATGTTAAGGAACGCGTCCGGTTCGGTGGCCGTCTCCTAATAGTGGGCGCATTGTACGTCGAGCCATAAACTGTCGCTTTGGGAGGCATCGCATCGCGTGCCACAAAGCAAGAGCGAGTGTTCTCTCCGTGCGACCGCGGACGGTGGTCGTGCGTGCAGACGTAGCCGTTTACACGTGTGACCGTATCGCACCCTCGGCCGGGAGATATGTGGCGCGGAATCTAGTTAGTGCCCTTGTTGGCTTTATCTCCGTTATCTCCGTTTGGCTCGGAGGTCGGCCGTGTTGCCAGATTAGAAGGATCAGCCTCGCCGCGCACTCGCGAAACAATTAGCGAAGATGGAATTTCGCATCTTCAATCAGCCGGCTTCGCGCGACCCCGGAAAGTTCGCGTTCACGCCGGAAAGTCTGATCTTCGGCCGCTGCACTGATAATATTCTAAGACGAGCGTTATCGGGCGACCGGAGATCAGACTTTGTTCCGCGCGCACGGAGCCGCGCGAAGGCGCGCGCGCCCCATTGAAAACGCATACTCGGTAATTCCCACTGATTTCGTTGACGTGCGAATTTCTCTCGTAATCTGTGACGTCATTTGGCAAATGTCCCGCTCGCAATATGCATTTTTGCAATAGGTGACGCGCGATCGATACAGTTGGAAGTGCACCAAACGAACGCGAGTGAGTGAGAACGTCGGCGGCCGTCGTGCGAGAACATGAAACGTTATTCGCCCGCGTCGTGTGCGTTCTCCGTGCACGTGTTGCTCCCGTAAAAGCGAACGTTTCTCCCGCCGTTTAACCGTTTCAGCGGTTCTCGTCGCGTGCGATCGAACGTTAACGTAAGCTCGGGAAGAGCATCACCGGGACGCACAATGGACCGCGGCATATTGCGGCAAACGCTGATCGGGCTCATATGTAAGTACCCCGGCATCCGGAAGTATAGGAGATTCTCTACCCGCGAACGAGTCTGACGCGCGATCGCTTCCCAGGCAGTCTCATGGTCATCGACTGCGGCTTCCACGAGGGATGGAGCACGCCGACCATACCCAAGTTCAACGACGAGGATCCATTAAGCGCGACAAGCGACGAGGTCGCTTGGATGGTGAATCTTATGTACGTGGGCGTCGCCATCGGGTCGTTGATACCGTTCGTATTGATGAACAGCATCGGTCGTAAGGGCACTCTGTTGGTCACCACGATACCGAAGGTCGCCTCTTGGCTCTTCATCGGACTGGCCACGTCTACACATTACATATTTGCCGGACGAGTGTTGGCGGGAATAGGATGCGGCGTAACCTACGCCGTGATGCCGATGTATCTCGGCGAGATCAGCAGCAAACGGACCAGAGGTCCTCTAGGTACAACCGTTAGCAGACACGTCAGCTGTCTCGAATACCTCGTCTCAGCCAGTGCAGTGCTCGATTCGATCTCGCCCCTCTTCTTTCACTCGGTGTTGTATTAAGGTATTTTTACCCGACCGTCGATCACCTCTGTTAAATTTTTATATATTCCGCCGCACCTTTGATTTGTATCTCTTTAAAAGATATCCGGGAACGCGTCTGCTTGTTTTTGAGTACGTGACGATTTCAGTGATTCGCGTTAAAGTAGTTGGTCCGTAAAACGATTTTCTTCGGAATCTTTTTTAATTCAGCCGCATTTTGATGGAAATGCGATCTATACGCGCCTGTAAAGTTAGAAAACGATCGACTATTCGGAAGCTGAGATATTCGCAAAGGAGATCACTTTTGATACGTCTTCCTCGAGGTTAATGATCTATTTTTAACTTTTATTTTTGACTTTTTTTAAAAATCACATTTAAGTTTTTAATGGAGATTTTTCATTAAAATCACTGCAATATTGATACAGAAAATGGATTAATATAAAGACATTATACGCAAATTTCAGAATTATTGGTTATATTTAATTTCAAAAATATACTTATAGAGGATATTTATAATTTATAGTAATATCCGCGGTATATGTATATATGCATATATTTAAATATTTATATACTGCTTTCTATTATGTGTGCACCTCTATTAGCTCAACTAATGTATAAATAAAGCATTAATACAAGAAAAGTGAAAAAATAAATAATACACACGGTTATAATATTGTGTATATTTGTTTTAATTTCACGCGAGCGTTCAAAATTAACATTTGTTATGAACATTATTTTTCTTTAAATCGCATTTGCAAAACCATTAGAGAATTTTTTTCCGAAAATATCTTTTTCTTACAATAAGTTTAGTTTAAATTAGACGTAGAAGAATCTGCCTACGTGAATATCCGATAATCTGGATTTTTGGATTCCGGAAATTTGAAATCCGTTTCCGACTTCGGTAATCGGATACTATATTATTATCCGAATATTCTCGAATTACGGATATCCACAGATAGCGGATATCTGCGGATAACGAATGTTACAGCTTACAATGAAGCATTTTTGCTCAAGAAAAATAACTTTTATAAAAGTAATCGCTTGGATTTTTGTGCTTTATACAATTTGTTTCCGAGTAATAATCAAGGCGAAACAAACACCGTTAGTAACAACAGTAGCGGTTCAAATAACGCTCATAGACTTATTCGAAACCGCGATATCACGTTAGGATAACTAATGTATTCAAATATACGTACATCATATATATGTATATAAATATTTAAATATGTATTCTCATACATATTTAAACATATGCTTATGTATATTCATTATCTATGGATTATCCGTTATCCGCAGATATCCGTTATTTGCACATATCCGTATTCGAATATTTATCTACGGACTTGTAAACTGACTTTGTCCGACCGAATGTTACGGATATCCGGATTTCAGAAAGAGCAACAAAATCCATATTCGACATCTGCCTCTAGTTAAATCCAACTAGTATCAGTAATAGTTAAAGATAAATTATTTTCTTGACCTAATATCGCAGACATTTTATTTAGACTCAATATTTCCACATGAAAAGTTTGAAAATATTAATTCGAGTAAACATGACAAGGCGATAAAGTCGAGCGACTTATCGACCGGAAATGTAGATAGCTGGAGTTAATTATCACGTATTTCGTAATCGTTCTTGCACTGCACTCGGATGAGCGTATTCCTTACTCACGAGACAGCGAGACCGTTTCTGACGAATCGAGACTAAACGAATCACGAGGAAACCCTCAGGTACTCTAACGGCCGTTTTGATCAACGTCGGGATTCTGCTCATCTACACGATCGGCCTGTGGATCAGCCGCTACACGATGGCGATGATAGGCATGTGCGCGCCGCTGCTGTTTCTACTGGCATTCGCGTGGCTGCCCGAGAGCTCGGTGTTCCTCACGCGGAAGAACAAGCTCATACCCGCGGAGAGGATCCTCCGGTGGACCCTGGGTAAGGAGAACGTCGAGGAGGAATTCGAAGAGGTCAAACGAATTGTGGCGATCGAGGACAAGTGCAGCAAGACGAACCTCGGCGAGATGTTCAAGCATGCCTTCACCAAGGCGCAGAACAGGAGAGCCTTTCGAATCGCCATGATAGTGCTGAGCGGCTTATCGTTGACGGGCGCGGCGCCCATACTCGTGTATCAGTCGTACATCTTCAACGAGGCCGGTTTCGAGATCTCGACCAATACCAGCATCATTCTGACCGGCATCGCCATCGTCGTGTCCGGCTGCATCTGTGTGATGCTGGTGCGGTTCACCGGCAAGAGAATGCTGCTGCTGATCGCCGCGCCGATTTGCGTGCTATCGTTGGCGACGATAGCCATTTTCTTCCAGCTGCAGTCAGGCGACCACGACGTCTCCCGATTCAAGTGGGTGCCCACGGTCTTCGTGGTGATTTACGTGCTCGGCTTCGGACTCGGCCTTAATCCGATACCGCTCGCGTATATCGGCGAGATCTTCGTCTACGAGGCCAAAGTACCCGCCGCGATGTTCAGCGCTCTCTACTACGCCTTGAGCAGCATAGCCGTTGTGAAGTTTTATCAGGTAACGTNAACGGGTTATCGGAAGTAACGATCGCTTTAAGGGGTTCGGCCGAAAAGATTTCATTTCGTAATGGTGTTATACGGCATGATACACCACCGTTTAGTAACTCGGACGAGCTAAAAGATTCTGGCGCGTGATAGCGTTGGAAAGCACGGCACGATAACGCGAAAATACAAATTACGTTATTGGCAATAACGTGGAAATAGTAGTTTTTAACCGACGAGTGAGTCTGCAGTAGCGATCCCGTTTGAATTCACGCATGATAAGGTGTATGTCCCAATTAGCGACAGAGTCCCAATTTATAACAATCGCATCTATCATTCTTAATAAGTCAAATAATATAGTTTCATATTTATCCTAAAAAATCTGTTTCACTCTATATTTTATATATTATCTGTTATAACAAGTTTCGAATAAAATCAAAAACACATGCTACTAAATGATACTTCCGTTGCTTTGAGAACATTTTATAAATTAATTAGAATTTTACCATAAATTAAAAAAAAAATTGATACAATTAAAATCCCAAATGTTTGAGCCTTCAAACAAAATAAATGTTATGTATTCAATATGTATATTATTACAATAATTTATGATGTTATTTTCATGATAAGATTATTTTGTTACTAATCAAGACATTCGTATAAAAATACTTATAAAATATTTCTTTATCGTTGCAATTTTTTCCGGCTCTTCGACATTTTCCTGTTTTTAATATACATGGGACGTAGGATAAGCAAATATTGCACGTTTAAAACATAATATTGAATAATTCTGTGAAAGCAGACTCCTCATTCTTTTTCTCCCACCAATAAACATCGTGCCATGTATGTTCGTGTGCAGAATAATATTATAACGGCAGGGTTATTTGTATTGTTTGTAGGTCTCGCAAGAGGTATACGGCACGTTCGTGCCATTATGGACATTCACCGCGATAACGTTTCTTATATGGGTATTAATTTACCTATTTGTGCCGGAGACCGAAGGCAAAACCTTGGAACAGATACAATTGCAATTGCAGAATAAGAAGTTACTTTCTGCGACGTAAAAAGGTAGACGAGCATTATGAATAATCCAAAGATCGCCAGGTCCATTTTTACGGCGCTCATTTGAGACGAGACCACCGCTCGTGCGATCTGATCGTGCGTTTATAGAAAATATCACAACGAAATCTCGCGAATTATGTCACGATACTCGAGTCAGAACATACTCGATACTCGAATCAGAACATTATGTAAATATAAACGTAACAATAATTGTAAGACACATGCAATTACGAGTCCCAATAACGTTAAGTAGTGACAATAAATCACGTAACATTTTCATATTATCAGTATCGATTGTCAAGTAATTATTAGGATAACGACAACGAATTTTAGTTCGTAGACAATAATGTAGCGTCACGGAGATTATAGCGAAAAATAAAATGTTCCTTCTGAATAAATCAATGTATGTTAAATAATAAGAGCGATGCGTACACGTAGTTTTATTTTTTAATGTTTAAAGCGCAGCATCGATAATGCCGTTAAATTGCACTTTGAGCTTGTGAAAATTTAGGAAGAGAGAAAGAGAGAGGGAGAGAGAGAGAGAGAGAGAGAGAGGGAGAAGAAGAGAGAAAGACGACACGAAGAGAGGGGGGGGGGGCCCATTGGACTTGTTTGATCGTAAAGCTCTAACCGCAAAGAGAATCGTTTAGTAACGATATCGCGTACGACGAGATTCGTATGTTCGATACGGACAAGTTAAGTTCTCATTAAAAACACATTTGCAACGTGAATTCGCCGACCTCCCTCGCTGATCCTCCCCCGAAGTCTAATACTGATGAACACCACCCTACCGTTGCACCTTGCCAAATATTACCTCACCATTTGCATTGCTAACGCACGTATGGAAGAACCAAATGTACAGTCACTCAATAAATTTGCGACTTTTTCAACCGCACTCCTCCATTACTTCCTTCCATTTACACCTTTCACACAGGTGTTCCCCTAAATATAAACGAAAGTAATCAAGCGTTGAACCGTTGCACTTGATTAAACGAACCGACCGTGTAATTTCGCGCGTTGAAAGCGCAAGCGTGTTGCATGCGCGGGTGCCGCGATTACCGGCGAGTAAAAATACATTATTGTTATAAAATACTAAAGCGAGCCTGTGTGTGCACACTGATTGAATAATACAAATTTCAGGCTCTCGGGTATTCAATTGGTCGGGAGATAAGATGGCGAGGGGTCCGTCGAGATTATTCGTTCGCGTGGAAGATCGAGGAGACGACGTCCTATCCTAAGATGATAAAACGGCCTACAAAGTCTGCCGGTCGATCTCTCTCCCCGCATATTCGCTCACGCTCGATAAACGGAATGGAAAGGGGGAGGGGGGAGAAAAATGTAGCATTCCCTAAAACGTCCGGTCCTCGTCGTAAACTCTCGAACTATCCCGCCGTATGACCATCCCCGGCCACGTCGATGATGGCTCGTCAGCTTCGGTGTACCGCGGAACATTGGCAGGACGTATACGTCAGACGGCATGCCTCGCATGCACGCCTGTCGGCGTTGTTCCCGAACGGAACGGTACGTGTGTATTCCTCATGCATACGTATACTTACAGTTATGTGCAAATGCATTTGCGCCTACGTGCGCATATAACTGTTTATCCGCCGATACTCCCTTGTGTGACGCATTAGGTTGTTCGTGTGTGTGTGTGTGTGTGTGTCGAGATGCACGCGCGCAGGCTTGAATGCGACCAATTTGATGCCGCGAACAAGAACGGCGATTTGACGATTCACGATGCGCGGGGGGGGGGGTGACGATAAAAGTGCGCGTGGGTAGCATCGATCTCAGGATTCCGTTCCTTATAACGCCGGGAGGCGCTGTTCGCCGAGGACGTGTTCGGACGGTCGACTTACCGCGAACGAACGGATAACGAGCAATGAGCGGGGAAGTAAACTTTTTCGGGAGAGCTAACTTCGTAATAGCTGACGCTTCGCAAATATCTCATAGAACGCAATGCGCGGAGTGCAGGGCGAGAAGTAACGAGAGCGAGGGGGAAATCGTGCGATAATTCCTGCAGTATTTCGATGTCTCCGATGTAATTAGAGGCGATTGCCCGGGCCGGTTTGTGAATTAAACCACGCCTGGACACGGAACAAGTGCGATAAAGGGAAGGCAGGCCGGGGATGAAGGAGGGGGAGGGGAAATAAAGAGCGCGCGTCATACGGCTCGCGCTTTCGCGCTTCCGGATACATAATCGCGCGCATTAGCGTTTAATTGCGATGAACGCGATAAGGGGGGACTGCGAGAGAGGTGAGAGCGAGTGGCTGGCCGAGGCTGTAGGTGCGAGTGTATCCATTGACCCCATACATTCCGTGTACCTGATCTTATGAGCCATCAGGATGACTTGACCCTGTTGTGCTGTTCTATGTCTACATATCTACTGATATATATGCGTACGTACCCTCCCCCCCCCCTCTTCTGGTACCTGTCGGGGTGTACGTTCAATCCAAGCGTGTGCATTAGCGGCACGCGCGCGTGTATCGCGTGTCAGTGCTCCGTCTCGTGTGCACACACGAGGCGCGCGCGCACACACGCACACACCGTACGAATTCGCGAGTATACGTGCGATACGTAACATATACATACGTACAAAGACGCATAGACACACGTACGTACTGCGACGAAGAGAGAGAGAGAGAGAGAGAGCGCACACCGATGTCTCTCATCGACGGTGTGCGTTTCTGCACCGCGCGTATAAGCCGAGATCAAGATTGATAGGCTACGAGTCGCAACACACACGGGGCATCCACTTAGCGGTGCATTATCCGAATGAGAATGTGTACAGGCTGGATCTTACCTAATGCGACGCCCGCAATCCCGGTAATGGCGACCGCTTTGGCCGTCGCGCGCGGCGATCTTCGGCAATCGATAATCCGGCGCGTGCGAGTGTCCGTGCGAATGTGTGCGAGGAGAGACGGTGTGTTAACGCGCGCGCCGTGTTATTTCGCGCCCGTCCCGTCTATCTGTCCGGCCGGAGCGCGACCGGAGGAATCGTTCCTGTGACCTTGCTGTGCACGACGCTCAGGTAATGGATAAGCGGACGGCAATTAACCGCGGCGCACACGCGACGTCTACTTATCGATGTTCCGACCGGTGTTGTCAAGTTGGGATTCAGCGTGCCGTTGGACTACGCTTTCCGTTCCTACCCGCGCTTTCCCGTATTTTACCTCGGATAAACGATATCCGCTCGTCGAATTATCCTCGGAGTCTTCCTTGCGAAAGTACCCAGCTCTATACAGAGCCGGGGTTTGAAATTGGGAGCGGAAAAATGTATAATAAATGAAAATACGGCTTTATACCCGCACCCCCGAGGTCGTACACTCTCCGGCATTCGGAGCGCAGCACGGAGCTCGTATTTTCATTTATTGCACATTTTTAGCCTTCATTGTAAAATCGAGCTCTGTACAAGGCTGGGGTAGGTCCGCAGGAGAGACGGGAAGATCCAGGTACAATGGAAAGCGGAGGCTAGCTGGCGCTAAACCCCCTCAACTTGACGACACCGGTCAGATTCTTACTTAACGGATTTTCGCCCGCGAGCGTCGACGTCTTTCTCTGATTTCGTTCGGCGCTTTTGTCAGTCGCGCTCGAACTCCGCCCTCTCTCTCTCTCTCTCTCTCGTTGCACCGCTCGGCGAGCGCGCCGCAAAAGTTCCATGTTTGAAATGGAGCGGGCGGGCGGGGAAACGGGGTTCGGCGGTGGAAGCAAAAGATTCTTCAGAAAGAGCACGGCGGATTGAATACGCGGCGCTTCGGCATGTGGCGGAACGTTTTTTGCTAATGGCGCTGCTTCGCGAAACTAAAAAATTACACGCTTTTTCAAGGACGTATTATTAAATTGTACGGCCGCGCCCGCGACTAGTGTGCATAAAAGCGAGCTTATGAAAAGGTTATTTCGCGACCTATATACCGCGTAAAAATATTTTTCCTACAGTGCGCGTCCGGCGATATTAATATCTCCTCCTCCTCGCGATACCGCCGCCGCGTTTAAAATCAATTTGGAATTCGTGTTTTCGTTAAAGCCGCTCATTGTTAATTTTCGCATAAATACCGCACAAACAAGCCGGACAATCCGCAACGCCCGTATTTTGCGCCGCGCGTATTTTCGGAAAGTATCGTTGCAATTTTAGCACACAACAGTGTGATAAAAAAAAAATATATATATGCTGAATTATATAGAAGATTACCCGGGCTTTATCAATTGCGGAAATTCAATTGCGGTTATCGCGTCACGACGCGCACGGTAAATTGCGAGCGCGGGTACGCGCTACGCGTTATTGTGCATTTCTTGTGACAACGACGCAATTCTCACGATAGATTCAGCTATATAAAGCACGCGATAATTACTTCAAGTACTTGCTCCTTTGCGCCAAGATAATTACGTACGTAGAATGATTAAAGTTTCTTGCGCAATCTCGATGCTCAGATGCGCGCGCGCGCGCGACGCCGATTGCAGCGTTGGCTAATTCATCTGCGGAATTTGTTTGCACGAAGTGTTTCATCGCGAATTATGCAGACTGTTATTGTTACCTTTCGCGCGAGGATACGCGGATGGAAATTTTTCTCTTTCCGGGATGGATTGTTCAGTGAGCCGGCACGTGCGCGCGCCGTTAACACAACGAGTTCTCGAAGGAAGACGCGTAATGTAGAAACGAATTAGCACACCTATCTTGCCGGTGCAAGAATCCTCGGAATTTTACAGAATAATCTCTAAAATGATTCATCTCCCCGGCTGCTACGCGCGCCCGTAGCAGTTGCACTTAGACGATTAACTCGGCTTTTTACGATGACTTGATGATTTATTATAATAAGACGCAACTGCCGCCATAATAAAATGCAAAACGTTGCTTGCAGGATGCGCAGGGAATCGTATTAAACAGATCATTTGCAAGTTCTCATACCGCGGCTGCATTAGCAGCGTCTTAAACTATTCGGTGCTTCCGGCGAAAGAAATTTCCTTCATTTCGCAATCAGTAAGTATGCGGTACTTAATCCGTGTGCAATTTCGATTATATTAAAGATCTGCGGGAAAACGTTACGGTCGAAAGCATTATAATTTCCCAACAGTTCTTGATAGAGCTAGGACATTATATTCGAAGCTTCGGATTTCTGAACTTTCGATTCGTTATATTCGAATAAGGAAATTTTGAAGTGTGAACATTCGAACATTCGGAAGTTTATGATATTGAATATTCGATGGTTTGAATATTCGAAACTTTAGAAACTGGAAAATACATGTGTTCGTTTCGTAGGCACAGTAAATAGTATTTAAAAAACTGTCCTAAAAAATGTAATTTTTTTTTATTCCGTTATGCTGTCATGGCAAAATTTGCATTTATTTTCAAATAAAATTAGTGAGATTTGTTGCTTGCTATTTATGCTTTCTTCATTCACTTTGTTCGAAACTAGACAAGTTCAAATTTGAGAATTGAACTGAAGATACTTGTAACTAATACTTCCTGATTGCACAGCATTTTGCCGCACTCTCCAAAATTAGTTCTATCTAACAGCTTCGATATTTTGAACCTTCGCATAGACTTTGAACCTTTGAACTTCGTCGTCAAATGTCGAATTATACCAAAGTTTCGAGATCAAGATTTTGCTCGCTCATAATATCTGCGCTGAGAAAAATTTCCATCGGATAAACCGATTAAATGACGGATCCGATTGTTATTTTTATTATCCGATCAAGTAAAGGATATCTTTATCCGATAAAATATCCGATGAAGTTACCGACCGAAACCTAATCGGAAAATTAGTCGTCTTTTGTATATCCGTTGTAACTTTCATCGCGGATAAAGGCACGACTTGATCGGACATATCCGTTTGTTATTTTTTAATTGGATTATCCGACCAGATATGATCGGATATTTTCCTCAGTGCGGCGGTCC